CGTTTGTTATAGTGTGACTGTGGAAATTAAGTGTATTGCAAAGTTGTATTCAGAAAGAATAAACCAGTTTTATTTAAGAACGGACTTCTATCGGTAAAGTTTCTTCGGAAAGAATTTTTACGGAAAATTTACTAACGACCAGAGGCGTAACACATACTTAACTAGAATATAAAAGTAAGGCCTAAATACAATTTAACTATAGCATATTTAGGTAAAAAACCACTGTATGTACTATTGTCAATCAAGCAGACAACAATACGAATGGCAGTTACATTAAAACCTGCATGCCAATTTCAAATTAACCATTGGTAGAGTATAGTGTAAACTGAGCTCTTTCTAACGACAATATACACCTGTGTCAACTAACTACATGTACGTTATAGATCTCAAGCCAAAGTATAAAAGTTGGGCATGGTGACTGTCAAGGGTTTGAAAATTTATTTCTCTTTACCAGTGAATACAGTTTTAGGACTTTAGATCTCACATGTCAATTAGGTCAAAAGCATGTAGTTAGCGTGTTGAAATTCTTGTACATTGCCGGCTCATTTGGCAAAGAGTGAAGCGATGCTAATGTCGAGATTTTTCAAAGTGTGTGGATCATTTGACACGAAAATTACAGCTTAAATATATTTTTTAAAGGTTTCCTACGAAACAAAGTAATTAAAATTTAGATAATATAAAAATTATAAAATATCTTATAATGTTACTTTCACTGATAGATATTCATAGTAAAGTGGTCTTATAAAATTTTGAATGTAACACAGTACCATATGCATAAATGAAATTAAAAATGGCGCTGGGGGCAATAGGGTTAAATATAAATGATGATTACAAGGACATAGCAGAGATGGGACAAGAAAATTCAGAACAAATCTATACAGTTATGGAAATTAATAAATGATGTGATATAAAAGGTAGAATTAAAAATTCATCAGAATGAATATTTTTTCCATACGGAATTTGGAGGAGTAGTGATGCCAGTTATCAAAAAGTTTAGAAAAGGTGTGGTGATGGTGCTACACAGCATTGAGTTTCAATCCAATAGGAATATATCCAAACTGGCACTGGTAGGATGATTCTTTGATGTAAATTGGGCACATATTGAGCATCTAAAGTTGTGTCCAGTCTGTGACTTTTATGACAACATAATGTTCACAGTGAGGTCTTAGGGACAATTCAGTACTTATTTTAAATCTTAGCTTTCATTTGGTTACAATGTATTGTTCATCATTTGACATATATATCAAAACTTCATTTATAACCATTGTATATATATATATCTAATAATAATATGCATTCTAAAGTGTAAATAGATGAAATAAATATTTAGATTCAACAGTAATATATTTTAAGCCTTGCTTAAATAATTATTTCAGAGATATAATTTTTATTTCGAAAAAACATGTTTTATTATATTTCATAATTTTTCTTCTCAGGAAACCAGACTCAATAATATTAAAAAAGGCTTAGATGCTGGAAAACCTATTACAGAATTGGCAGTCCAGTTTGTAGCCATGTTGAATCAGCTGATCTTTGATGCAGAGTGAGTCATGTGATTAGTATTAAACAAAATATAATATTCTGGATAGAGCAATGTAAAGGATTAATAGAACAATTATGTGGCACATAGGATTGCTTGTAACTTTAAATGTGTGCTTGAATTGAAAACTTACCAAATCAAAGTGACAAATCACAAAATCTGTACCAAAGCATTATCATTATAATATTATCTGAATCATTTAGAAATGTAACATTTAGAGACTAAAAGCCAAGCACAAGAACTAAAATGTAATATACAAGTTTTGTTGAAACATGAAATTTTTTTGTCATGCTGATGTGTATAGATAATGCTGAATTTAGGGGTGGGAAGAGGAGCAGTACTGCCAGAGCTGCATTGGTGAGGGAGTTCCAGTAAATCCTGGGTCACTTTTTTTTTCTTGGAGTGGGGAGCTCTATTCAAGACAAGTTAATAACCTCTTCTTGTTCAGTGTCATTTTTTTGTGCCCCCCAGTGGCACAGCAGTATGTCTGCGGACTTACAACGCTAGAATCCGGGTTTCGATACCCGTGGTGGGCAGAGCACAGATAGCCCATTGTGTAGCTTTGTGCTAAATTACAAACAAGCAATTACAAACAAACATTTTTTTGTTCATTATTTTATGGCACAAAGTAAGTGGTGCCCCTATACCACCTTCACAGTTTATTTTGACATCCTTCTGGGTCTCTTTCACTGTGAACTCATTAGGTAGATTTGATTATTATGGACCTCTCAATTAAAAAATCATTTTTTGGCCCTGTTGTTTCTGTTAAATTTATTTCCATCTAACCAAGTTATCTAGTGAGTGCCTCAAGTTCCAATTCAAAGAGCATGGGAATCAACATGTAAACATCAGTAAGTTGATGCTAATTTTTCCAAAAAATTCACATATTCTTTCAATAATAATAATCTCTGAGTATAATGATGAGAGGCTTCAAACAGCATGCTAGAGAGGCACCTTAGAAATCCTTTATTATTAGTAATAATCTGAAAGTTCACAACTCACTGCAAACACAACAGAACGAATTGTGATGAAAACTTCCAAGGAATTCATCATTTCATGCTGACATTGCCACTGACTTCTGTGAAAGTGCACTGCAGTGAGGGATGAAGAGGTTTTGGTATGTAGATGGTCAAGTGACCATTTGAGATCTGCATGTTGCATAAATACTTATAAACAATCAGATAATAACTGTGGCATTTGTTCAGTGTTTATTCAACTGATTGTGGGAGGAAGTGTACAAGGTGGTGAACACCATTTTAATTTTTCAAGCATATTTCAAACTTGGAATGTGTGTGTGTGTTTTTCTTGTAGCAAAGCTATATTAGGCTATCTGCTGTGTCCACCGGGGAAATTGAACCCCTGATTTAGGTGTGTAAATCTGAAGACTTATTGCTGTCCCAGCAGGAGACAACTTGGAATGAACTACACTATATACAAGTTCATTAAGAAAATGCTTTAGTGATGTTGCTCTCAGGCTTTCACTTTTTAAATTTAAACACAGTTAACACCAAAAGCACAAATTTTATCAAACCGAGTCTCCTTCTGTCAGGGCCAACCCTGCCAATAGGCAAACCGAGTAGGTAGCTCGGCATGGTGCAGTTCTGGAAGGTTCATATGGATTTTGAAAAGTATTCAAAAATTGTGGAAACAATTTCCAGGGCCTGGAAAGTTTTTAAAAAATATTAATTGACCCCAGAGTTTTGGAAAAAATCATGGAAAATGAAAATTTTCTCCTGTCAGTATTATAAATCAGCATTTTCCATAATTTATGTTTTTATTTGATGGTTACATCATATAATATCCAATGGTGACGATCTTCCAAGTGAGCCCTTCACATTTTCCTTTACTGACAAGGATGCACTTCACATGCAAATGCATGAATAGCAACTTGAATTACTTCAGAGGTACAAGGTTGAATGAGGCCATTAATGTCTGAGCTTTACCATTCAACTAATTATATAATTGCAATTCATCTGTTTTTCTGTCATTATTTTTCTGTTCATTTGTATTGACTTGAATGTGTATGCATATAAAACATGCCTGGCAAATGTGGCTTCAGAAGGATGAGTTCAAGGAATGGCTTGTTAGGGTTGCACATCGCCAAGACATTTGTTGCAATGTATGCCATTAAAGGTTTGAAGTTGACAATATGGGCAAGTCCATGATTATAAGCCTTATGAAGGGATTAAAGCACAAGGCTAACGTGAATAAGGTACACTCATCAACAGCAGCCCTACCAACCATACACAGTTTGATATCGTTTGAACCTAGGCTGATGCCAGATAGAACATTTACAGTTAGGCCTACTGTTGCGACAAATTAACACAACTCTGTACTTCAGCAAGTAATTTGAAGTTAAATTTATATTCTAGAGAATGGGCCAAATTTCATTGATTTAAATGCACAATACTATTTTATATAGTTGCATTACTTTGCAATTAGCCTTTGGATGATTCACTTCTTTTCATCTAGGTGATGATTAGATTTCTTGATTCTGCATTCTTTGGCCACATTTGGGGCTAATGATCTCTTAAGCCATTTCTTACAGCTGACAGAAGAGCTTAATCTTAGTCATCTTTTGCAAATAAGGATGGACAGTCCAACTGTTAACCATGAGAATCTGGAATCAGAGTTAAAAACTACGGATTTTGACCCATCTTCAATAAACCTTGGGTCTTGTGGTCTCCACACAGTCCATGGGGCTCTTTGTACTGCTTGCAATGCCTCTAATTGTAATTTAGAAACAATACTTAATTCAGTGTAAAACCTGCTTTTTCAAAGGTTCTCCAGCCAGACAGGAAAACTTTGAGAAAATTACTGGGTCTCATGTATACACTGAAAGCTTGTTCTACCAGATGAACAGAGAATGCACCTGTTGCACTTAGGGCAATTGAAATTATTCTGAATATCAAAACATACATCAAAGCATTAAAGCCAAATCAAATTCTTACACAGTATTCAAACATCAAGCATCTAATACTGTGAAATGTGCAACAAATGACATCCCTTCTATAACAAAATTATCATTTTGTATCTTGTTATCTGAATAACTCTCTCTATTTCTGACAAAATATCAGACTGACCATCCTGTACTGCCTTTTGTCAGTTGTGATCTTGAGTCTATGATCAGAAATCTTCTGAGAAGGATTGTAAAACATGATGTGCTATCCAAAGCAGAAACTGCATTGAAATGGTTGAAAACTGACTTAAGCAATATGTAAAATATCAAATCAGCTAACATGTTCATATTGGTTTTTGTGCAACAAAAAATATGAAGGTATTGATTGCCACAGAGAAGGCAACTCCAAAGACAATCTTGCATTTTATAATGAGTGTTTGTCTGTTTTTGTTTAATTGAGAAGTGTCTGTTGAAATACTCATTTACTCATAATGTTGCCTGTTTTTCCCCTATAAAAATGGTCTCAGATGCAATGAATAGTAAGTTTCATTTTCAATGTGTACTGTCTGCTCTTTTCAATTTGAAATCTCTCAAAGCAGAAGAATGGGGTCGCTTAATCAGACAGTATGACTTGTTTTTATTTCAGGATTTGAAGCCAAATTCTCAGATCTTCAAGGATTTTGACCTCAAAGCTGACTGGTTTGATTGCTTTTTGTTCAAACACATGGGCTAACCTATGAATTATGAGTCCTTATGGTGTATTTTTAAACTCATTTTGATACTTTCTCATGTCCAAGCAATTCTTGAAAGAGGCTTTTCTGTGAATGAAGGGTTAATGTTTCAAACAAGGATGCTTACTGCTATTCAAAGTGTTAGACAGAAGTATAACCAATACCTTGATCAACAGAGGGAAACAGCTGAACTGAATGAAAAGACACAGAAAAGGAAACTTATTCTTGAGGATATTGCAAAGCTTAATGCTAGTGATCAAAAGTTTGCAAAAATATAGCATCTTTAACCCTTTCATTATTGGCTGAGTGGAGGCATTATAATGTAATGGTCAATCTCATTATTCATTGGTAAAAGAGTAGCCCAAGAGTTGGTGGTGGGTGATGATGATGACTATCTGCCTTCCCTCTAGTCTTACACTGCTAAATTAGAGATGGCTAGTGCAGATATCCCTCGTGTATCTTTGTGCCAAATTCAAAACAAACAAACAAACAAGTAAATCTCCTGAGAGTTTCATCTAATCTTTTTACACCTGTTTCCTATTATTATTCTGCTGTTAGTGGTTGATATAGAAACCTGCTGAATATAAAGCAATGAATCACCGTTCCTGTTTAGGTGTTACCGTACTTTGACACCGTCAATATCAAATAAGTTCATGCGGCACAATTCCCAGAATTTTCCCTGCTCTGAGAACACAGTGGGATAGAATTTGCCACAGTAGTTGCAACAAGAAGTTTCTAAAGTAATTTATAAAAGTGAGAGAAAATATTTATGATATGGCTCTCTACAAAGTATAAAGTTGTATATCATCCAATAAATTTGCTAGTTATCTTACTTGGTGGTTGGGATTTAGCATTGGTATAGGTGTAAATGCTTATGGACATACTGTTTCCTATGTTACCATGCTTACACAGTAATCAATGAATGTGTAATTTCCAGTAATATAAATTCAGCTCATTTTGGTTAGGCTAGTATTCTTGGCTTAGCCTTCTTGATTGTAACTTGAGAAACAAATTATTCACCAGCAAACTGCAAGTTCAACCAGGTGTTTACTATAGATGTTCCTTTTCATGTGTTAAGATCAGTTGATCAGTGATAAATTTATTTCTTAGACTTTCACAAGTTACATAAATATACTTTTTCTGAATTGCCAAGTCTTTAGTTTTATATAATTTGTTTTTATTCTACCTCAGTATAAATGAGTAGAAAAATACAGTAATATATTGGCTACCATACATTACATATGTGTATATGTATATATATATATATAACTAATGTTTTCAAATAACTACTTAAATGTCAGTTATTTTTCTTCAACTATAAAACAGTAAATAAAAAATATTTGGAAAACAATGATCTCTACTACTTACGATGC